CACAGGTGTGTGTGTGTGTGTGTGTGTGCGGTGTAATTTATCGAAAACCACTTTTCGATTGCCCGTGTTATTGTTTACTTTTCACTCCTTCGCTTCGACTGCAGAATTTTGCTTTAATTCAATTTATTTACACTGCAATTGCCACACGGATTTCAATTGAAATTTCGACGCTGCGATTGCACTCGCCACTTTTGCTGCTTCCCCTTCTGCTTCTGGTTTGTTTGCAGTGCGGAATCGAAGACGAATGGAAAGCGCACAGACGAACAGACGAACAAACGAACAGCGAAACGAAACCAAACCAAACAGCACAGCGCACTCGAAACAAAACAGCGCGACTCGATTCAACGCAATTCCGACGGAATTTTCGACCGCTCGCCAACAACAACAGCAGCAGAGTGACCGTCTGCGGGCGGGGGAAATATACCGCGGGTCGTCGCTGAAAATGCACTAAAATTGGAAGGCGTTTTTAGAGCTAAATGTGCCGCCACTAAGCAGGGACACAAACCGATCGGACAGAAATCGTTAACTGTTATCGGAATTTAAAAATCATAATCATGAATTAGAATGATTTGGAAATTAATGCATATTAGTTTAAGCAAATCGATGCAATGTTTTGAACGAAATTCATCAGCCAGAGTCCTAATAAATGTGCAATAATAGCTATATGAAATCCAATATTATTTGAACGCATCTCACTTTATAATTGCAAACACTTAAAAACCTTATCATTATGCTTAACCCTAACAGAGTACCTAATCTTCGACGCGCTGGCGGCTGTTTCCCTTCTTGATGAACTTCCTCTTGAACGTGGAAGGCGCAGTGGCGGCTATCTCCGCATCCAGACCGCCTATCGTCTTCTCCTTGAACTTCTTGACTGGCGGCTCTGGTTCAGTGGAAGCGGAAACCACGGGAGCAGCACTGTAGTAATCCGTTTTGGGTAGCTGCCAATCGATGGGCTCCTCAGGCGCTCTACAAAAATCAATGAATTTATCAGTAAATGCAAAAGAACCGAGTGAGCAGTATGGATCCAATTGTTAAGGAAACCTTACTTCACTTCGACAGTTTGCCACTGTCCAATTTCCTTGGTGGCCGCCTCCTCCTCTGTTTTGAATGTCAGACGCTTCTCCTCCTTCTGCTTCTTTTCCTTGGGATTATCGGTCTTCCGGAAGGCTTTCATCTTCTCACGATTCACCCTCGCCACTTCCTCATCGGCATTGGCGCGAAACTTGAGAGATTCCTGCGCCTGCGAGAGCTCCTGCTGATCGATGGCCAGTTGGTTGATGCGCTCGTACTCCTCGTAGGACAGGTAGCCCTCCTTCGGCGGCTTCCACACGGATTCATTCGTCTTGACGTTCCAGTAGTAGGTGTGTCCCTCGTCCGACTTGCCCTCCACCCAGAGGGAGGCCTCGGGGACGGCTGTGTCGCTGGTCACCTTGCCGGGAGCCACCCGCCGCTGGTCCTCTTCTTCGTCGGAGAGTCCCTCAAGGCGCATGGGGTCCACTTGGCGGGATCTTCCAGCGGAGGAATGAGCAGCGCCTGAGGCGGACGCAGAGGCGGTGGCCCTCATCACCGTGTTGATGGACCTGGCGGTCATGTCGCCGCGGGAATGGACATCCTGGGCGTACGACTTCATGGCCGCCTCCTCCATCTTGCGGATCTCCGCGTCCATTTTCTGGCGTTCCCGCTCCGATTTCTCGCTGTTGCGGCTGATGTCGGTGATCCGTTTGGCCACATTCAGCTTGTGCCGCTTGCCACTCTCGTGGAAGGCGACGCTCTGCGGGATTAGGGGTCATTGGTGTGCCAAAAGTCGCGTTTACTTTATAGACTCACCGCCTTGTTGTCGCTCAGCCAGCATTTGCAGAAGTCGCAGAACTTCCGCTCGTTTGACTTCCAGTACTCGGTCCTGTCGGGATCAAGAGTTAGCTATGGTTAGTTGGAAGGTAATAGCATGAACTTACATGTTTATTTCACAGTGAAGTAGCCTAAAATACAAGAAATATTAATTCTTGTTTGCGATTGCAAATGAAAACAATGTGCGAGCGTTGCCACCTAGTCGAGAAATGGCTGTGCTCAGTGCTGAGCAATATTCCCGTATCTGACTTTCTAGCCATTCCCCCGGCAAATTGACAGCTCTGTCAATACTTATCGACAATCGAATTCAGCGGATCGGGAAACTTTGCGAAACTAACTTTAGTTAGTCGCTCTTTGAGATTCCCCGAGGCAGGAGCTCGCCTGATGCGCACCACTTCCGAGCAGCAATTAGCCATGGGCCAGACACGCGTGGCAACAACAACAGCGACGCCATCTCCAGCGGCGTCACCTTCGCCAGAAACAAGTGAGTAAACCGGAGGAGGAGGTCGTGGTCAGGTCACCAATTCGCACGCTCTGCGCACCTGAGTCCGAAGTTTGCGCTGGTTGCGCTTCACCTGGCTTAGGGGCGATTTCACCAGACAGCCGATTTCGTCACAGCTTGATTTTGCTGTAGTCTTGCTAATGTGAATGTGAATTCCCTCGTTTTCAGATGGCCAGCCGGAGGAGCCCCTGCAGCTGCTGGGCGAGAACAGCTGGGAGGAGTTCTCCATCGCCGTTCCCTGGGGAACCGTTGAGGGTGAGTCACCTGCAAGCCGTTTCCTTATCAACAGCATCGACCATTCATGGCAATCTGACGTGATTTTTGATGCGACGCAGCTGCGCGAAAAGAAGACTATTTTGATAGTTTCGGTGGACTAAACTTGTCCAGGCAACTTGACCACACAACGCTATCTCTTCAATTGCTTTCTGAGTAATAATTTTTGAAAACATCACCCGATTTGTCGGTACTATTAGCATGCACGTGATGGCACCAAGCTGTGTACCTTTTCATTCGGCGCATTAATCGATTTTCCGTATTGCAGCCAAGTGGTGGGGCTCGAAGGAGAGGCAGCCCATCATCGCTCTGCACGGCTGGCAGGACAACTGCGGCAGCTTCGACAGGCTGTGCCCCTTGCTTCCGGCGGACACCTCAATCCTGGCCATCGATCTTCCCGGGCACGGCAAATCCTCCCACTATCCGATGGGCATGCAGTACTTCATCTTCTGGGACGGCATATGCCTGATTCGCCGGATAGTGCGCCAGTACAACTGGAAGAACGTCACCCTGCTGGGCCACTCGCTGGGCGGAGCTCTGACCTTCATGTACGCGGCTAGTTTTCCCACGGAGGTGGAGAAGCTGATCAACATCGATATCGCGGGTCCCACGGTGCGCGGCACTCAACGGATGGCGGAGGGCACTGGCAAGGCGCTGGACAAGTTCTTGGACTACGAAACGCTGCCGGAGAGCAAGCAGCCCTGCTACTCGTACGACGAGATGATCAAACTGGTGCTGGACGCATACGATGGCTCCGTGGATGAGCCTTCGGTTCGGGTGCTGATGAACAGGGGAATGCGGCACAATCCGAGCAAGGATGGCTATCTGTTTGCGAGGGATCTGCGGCTGAAAATAAGCCTCCTGGGCATGTTCACCGCCGAGCAGACGTTGGCCTACGCTCGCCAGATTCGCTGTCGCGTGCTCAACATACGGGGCATTCCCGGCATGAAGTTCGAGACGCCACAGGTGTATGCGGATGTGATTGCCACGCTGCGGCAAAATGCCGCGAAGGTGGTGTACGTTGAGGTGCCCGGCACCCATCACCTTCACCTGGTCACCCCGGAACTAGTGGCGCCCCATATCAACAAATTCCTGAAGGAGGCGTGAGATTACATCGGGAATGAGTAGCAAATTACTTAAGTAGACGGCTAGGTAGAGAATACTGTATGTATATAGTTAGTGTATTTCATCCCACATGTGATGTGACAGTGAACAAAGGTATATGCCCGATTTGCGGGGATCTAAATGTTATGGCAGATAATAAACACAAATTTATGACCAAACAAGGTAGTGCCTTTTCGTCACAACTTGGTATGCTCTTGCAACTTGGACTTTGATTGCGTGTTAAGTAAAATATCTTGAAAAGAAATCTTTTCATGTCTACCATTCTCATTTTGCAAGTCATAGTTAAAAACACTTTTATTGAGGTGTTTAGCGAGTCATCATTACAATTCAATTGAAAACATAGTAATAGCTCCTTAATATTTTATTCGCAGACTTTTTCTCGACCTATGAACCAAAATATGGATACTTGATGGTATTGAAGGTCCCATAAGATATCGCAAGCTATAATCACCTTTACTCACTAAAGTAGATAAAAGAAATTTAAGTTCGTCGCGCCCAAGTCGTAATTTGATCAAACAGAGATTATAGCCTGAAGGCGTAAAGACCGGAAAAGGTTCCACCTAGAAAATATTTTGCGTCTGCTAGATATTTATATCTGTCATGGACAATAAAGCGGATATAACAACTTATGGATTATAAGATAGCTGAAATGAAATCAAGATAAAATGTTATAGTCGAGTTCCCCGGCTATCAGGTACCCGTTACTTATATAGGGAAAGTGCAAACGAGAAATTTCGACATTTTCTGGAACGTCGGTAGAAATTGCGTAAAAAAAATTCAAAAGAAAATTTTACATTTTCAAACTTCTGGTCGTGACAGTTTTGGGCGGATTGTGGGCGGTAGAGTGGGCGTAGTAAAACGTTTTTCGGCTAATCGATAGAAACGTACTTTTCAAGGAATCTAGTATACCCTTTTACTCTGCGAGTAACGGGTATAATTAATTTCGAGCACCAAACTAATACGACAGTTGACAAAATTGGTTTATTTGAGAATATATAAATCATGTGAAGATAAGCTATCGCATTTTCCTATGTAATTACTTTCGCATTTATTGGCTATGCAGATAAAGCTGAACTGTTTACAACCAATTGATATAGAAACATGGGGTTTCATGTGTACACCCATTAACATTCTGAAATATGTTATCTTCCTACGCTCTCGATTTCGGCTTATATCCAATATGTTGTGGCTCACGTTAATTTTAATTTTAGGTCAAAATAGCTTTACTTAAAGGTGCACAAAATATTTTCAAAGTCTTCACAAAATACCGTTGGATCTCAAGGGCTAAAGCTACTGTTATATTTATCTATCCATGTGGCAACTCTGTCGGTCTCCAACCATTTCCAAACAGCTGGCAGCGCCTGGTAACGGCCACAACAAAGTACCGTTGCATGGCAACTCGTTTGTTTGGGCTTTTGTTTACAAAATTCGTTTGCAAGGACGCACAATGGACCTCATCAAGGAGATCAACGACAAATACATGGCCCTCGAAGCGGAGATCGACCAGAAGCTGGAGAAGGTGTAGGTGGGCCCTTGGTCAAGTGCAGGGATGTAATTTACATTGAGTGTTATTTACTACATCCTAGGCAAGCCGAGGAACTAAAACTGGAACGGCAGAACGAGCAGCTGGCCGAGACCGCGATCTGTGCACCTGCTGCCAAGGTTTTGTCCTACGAAGGGGCTCTCCTGCGGAACACCAACACCTTGAAGGTGAGCCAACTCTTAGGATATCACAGGTGCCTAAGGACAGTCCCATTTCAGGCCCTGGAAATAGCCAAGGCCCGTTTGAGATCACGTTCCACCTACTCCCCGGTGGAGAAGCTGCTCCAGCAAGCCCTGCACAACTACCGAAAGGAGCTGGAGAGTCTGCAGGACGCGGAGGATGACCGCCAGGGTCAGGAGAAACCAAAGGACACCGAGGAGGAGGCGGAGGAGGAGGAAAACCTCTATGATCTGGTCATGCAGAATGTGATAGAGGCCAAGAGGCAGCAGACCGACCTATAAGACATGTTTTTCCCTGGAACTCGAGCAATTCGTGTGGCCATACATGATACAGTTGTATATATTGTTCACAAGCGAGACATTGCCAAGCTGAATAAACACGCCGCAAGTGCACACATTTGCTGGAAATTGAATCGAGAATGGGAGAATGGGAATGCCGGGTGAAATGGATATGGGTTGTATGCTCAGTTTCTGTTCCCACTTCAAACAATGATCGAAATGAAGCAAACAACGGATGACGAAACGGAGCCTAAGCGAACCACCTTGTCGCCATCCCAATCATCTAAGTGCGCCATCGACGACGATGTTCCCACCCTCGACGTTATCGCCGCTGAAGATATATATGCCAAGGCGAGAAGATATCTCCCGGAGTCAGGCAACATCAGAGCAAACACATTTACCTAATTAGTTGGCCATCTAACCACTTGGACATCCCCAAATCTGACTACAACAGGTCGAAAGGAAGCAGAGGCAATATACTTGGGTAATAAATCAATTAACGACACTCCGTCTCGTGCAAACATCAAAGAACACTATGGCTCTCCTGGCATGTTCGTTCGCCTTGTCTTCTGATAAAGTCAGACAGCGACGACAGGGCAGTGTGGAGCACATTGCTCCAGCGAATGGAGTCGGGCGGTACAGCTGGGGTCAAAAAGTCGTGCCCGATCATCGAGTTGGGTTAAGGGAAGTGCTACTCTAACTAAGCCCTCAGATGATAGCTACAAGTATTGTAATGCCATTATTGGGTCTACAGCTAAGTTTGATCTTATACGTCTTGGCATTCCCTCCTGTTTCAGATATTAACGCAATGAAGATCAGCATTTGGGCACTATGGTAGTGACCCGAGTTGTGAGGTGGCTTGAATGGATGCGCCCGACCGGGTCGCAGGTAAAGGGAGCGGTGCGGGAGCGGCAGCGAGCACCCTCACCTGTGCGCACTACCTGGGCTGATAAGGCCAGCCACGACGGAATCTATTGAGACAAATTGTGGGGCGACATGGAGGTTCGTTTTCTGTTCAGCCCTTCGGCTACGTTGACAGCAGCGTTTAATGGCCAATACAAAGACAGCACGCACGCTCGGGTGTGAGTGCTATCTCGAAAATATCACCCACTTTCTGCTCCAGTTCAATATTTCATATTTATTTGCTTTCCGTTTCTGTTTTTCGGCTCTCCCGCTCCCGCTCCCGCTGCCGCCTCCGCTCCCGAGCTCCTTGCACTCGCACCTGTACAGGTGAGATATGGACGGCCGATCGACGGCACTGGGTGTACTTCGTGGGCCCGATTCTTCGTCGGGAGCTGGTGTTTTAAACTTCACCGTCAAATCCGACGTTTCAGTTACGTTCCGAGTCGCGACAAGTGCATGTAGTGCCGCCCCGATCCATCCGATCGGCAGATGTGGGGCACCCAGTGTGGAAGGTGCCTACGTGTAGCTGCTTCGCCTTGGAGCCACCACCATCCCGGGCAGCGAATTACTTGGGCCAAGGGAATGCAAACTGTGATGCCTAGTAGTTTGTTCGTTTGGCTTAAGTTATTTTCATGTCCGACTAAAGCGCCACGTCGAGGAGATCCGATCGGATTGGATCGGGAGGTGGATGTGCGATCGATTCCCACCCAAGGAAGTGCTCAACGAAGAACTCGAGTGGGCCAGCGAGTGGGCCACGCTTGGGCATCCTAACTGGGCACGTCATCAGGTGAGGATCGGGGTGAGTGTGAGCACCTGAGCAGCGCCTCCGCGAAGGCCTATCGATCTGGAATGATTAGCCTGGTGGCACTGATACCCAAGAGCGACGTGATTCGCTCCGCTCCCAAAAAGTAGATGCCGGCTGATTAAGTCCGCCGCCATATTCGGCTTCCGAATCCGTATGCGAATGGAGGGAGCACTGCTGTTCGGCTCGGGCTGGGAATCGACTCCACTTGGTGCGCTGGCACGGTTTCTCGGTGCCGTAAACCCATTATCACACTATTGGTTGTACGATTTGCGGATCCGTCGCCAGTCCGTCGACTGTAAAATCTGATTTCTGTAGACGTGTCGTCGCTTCGCCCCAACCGATTCGATACGGCTGGGAAAACTGACTTGGGAACGAGCTCTTATCTGGCCTGGAAGAGCACAGAGAGAAAAAACAGACAAGTGGTGATAATTTTGGGAAATTATCACACCACCCAGGGGACTGATTTGATATGTCGAAACAGGGCGAATGATTGAGCTGAAGATATAGGATCCTGCAAGAGCACATCCCTTAGACATAATCAGCGACCTGGAAGTATTACATTGGTTTTCCCAGTGCAGTGGGGCAGCAAAGGGTTTCTGGATGGGACAAACGTGGCACCCAACAAGTATGAGGTAAAAAGGTAGCCGAAGCCAAACTGATAATTGTGCAACGTACACAAACCTTGCTCGCAATGCTCCACTTGCTTGCGGGTTATCAGTTGGAGTGACAAGCGGAAATTAAAGTTGAAATCGACACGATTATTTCATTAGTTCTGTTTGCGAAGGGCCGAGGAAGTGGGCGTGTGCCAGGGGGTGGGCGTGATGCGAAAGGTCGGGCAGGAGTTGGCAAGGTCACCCGGATGTTTATATTCGGCAGTCTAGTTGCCGATTGACGGATGGATTGTCAGTGGCCATAACTAACCAATTAGCAATTGCCATTCGTAGCAGGCAAAGCCAGGCACATCCTTGGGTGGTTGGTGGGGTGCCTCGGGTGCTCCAAGGTGAAACGCAGTCAGAAATAAGTGCGCCCAGCCAAGTCGAGTTAAGCTGAGGACTTGGACCCAATTCGATCAGGTGCAAGCGACAGAAACAGCGAAGAAACAGCGACATAGACAAGCAGAGGCCACGTTTCGGCGGGGGAGTACAGTGAAGCCTCCAAGGAGTTGTCAGTTTCGCGGAGAGCTTAAAGTTCGAAATTGTTCGAAAGGAGGAAACAGGGCTTATAGAACACAAAAATCTCACTGAGATCCAGGATCGGTGGGTAGACCGGTCCGCTTTAAGGACCCTTCACTGTTTGAGCGCGCGATGGAGCCCTGGGAAGATGTCATTGGTTTGGACGTGGACGAAAGCGAAAGGTGTAGACGCAGACAGAGACGGAGACAGAACTTCAGCGAATATGCCAAGGTACGTCAAAAGAAATGAATTACCCGCGGACTGGAGTCGGAGGCAGTTTGGAGGGGGATGTCTCGAGGCGGGACTGGAAAAGTGCTCCAGCCCCCAAGTCGCACTTTACTGCAAATGCAAAAACTTTAGACAGGGAATCAATTGTTGTTACCTTGTTTTATTTCGCCCAAGACACGCAACAACAATGGAACCGTCAAAAGGGAGAGGCCAAGATGGAGAACACAGCGAGAAGACATTCCAATAATCGTGGTGAAAAAGGATAAGAGCCACCATCAAGGAGTCCTTCTCTAAAGTTGCAGTTCTTCCAAGTTGCAGTTCTAGTTCCTCTATATGAATTCCGGATCAGTAGAACCAGAAGCCTGCAAGGTTATAAATTTTGCAATAAATTTTACGATCGCAAATTCGTTTTGCGATAAGCAGTGTTTCGAGTTAGGATCATAAATATTTTATCTTCGATAAAGTTAGGGCTCTGCGTGCTACGATGAAGTTTGGGACAGTACTATATCCCCAAAAATTGGGACAATACGTATCCTAGGCTAGTTTTTCTCGCAGTGCCACTGGTAACTAGCAACAAATGGGCAGTCGGCAGTTGGGGGCGTGACAGCAACCGTGAAAAGAACTCGAGGATGACAGTTATGGGTTACAAAGGCAAGGATTGAATCAAATAAATAAACGCGCAAGGTTCTCGTCATGGAGCGCGGCTCACTGGGTCGGATGGTCGGGGGGGATTTATATGGGATTCGATTGAACGGGTTGAGCTCTGCGCGGGGGAGGGATTCGGGCATGGGCCTGGGCCTGGGGGTAACCTTACCACGTCCACGTCCACGTCCATGTCAAGTTTGCATGCGGCTGCAGGTAATTCCCCATTTCACCCGCCTTTACATAATCACAACAAATGAACGAGGAAAGGCGACGGATGGCGAATCTATTAGCATAAGGGCGCATAAAACGGCGCCATAGCCGGATCCGGTCGGATTCCATCGAGGATTCGCACTCGTCGACTCAGTTGCAGTGGAGCCGTGGAGCCGCGATGAACGTGTGGAAAGCAAAGGTCCTAACGGAAGTCCCCTTCGGACACGTCCTCATCGTCAGTGGGCGCGTCAAGCCTCATCCGAATAAGTAAACGCTCTTATCCTTTGGATACCCGGTGCTCCAGGAAATCTCTCCAGCATACTGGTGTACCCGTTTGAACTGGGTTAGGGCCTAAGTTCAAAGGCGGTAGCTGGTTTTCTAATTAAATCATGTATTCAACACTCTATATACTTGCCGAGCTGTTGAATTTATAAGTTATTAAGCAACTATTTCCAATTATTTCGGAAAGTAACGCGATTAAGTATAAACTGTATTCGCATTATCCAATTATTGACTAAACAATGCAATTCTAATACCAACGAAAAACTTTCAAAGCTCTGCCAGAGATTTGCATTGGCGCAGATTAATGAAGTGGGTATGCTTAGTGGAGTGCCGAGTATCCCCAAGTCGATGATATCAACCATGGCTTTTATTTCTCACTAATGAAACCTCTCGAATTGCGGACAGAATTTCGCTGGACCTCACGGACAATGTGAACGCGCAGAACGAGAGCGAAACGGTGTTCCTGAAGATCGAGGCCAACTTCCGCGAGGGCCAGATCATCCGCAGCATGTTCCAGCCGGGCGAGGGCTGGCAGCAGGAGGAGATCTCCAAGAACTGGAAGTGCGACGGCCCGAAGAATCCGCTGCAGCCGGGCCAGAGCTTCACCTTCCGGGTGGCGGTGCTGCAGCGATGCTTCGAGATCTACGTGAACGACCAGCTGTACGGGTCCTTCGAGTTCGTGAAGTTCCCCAAGCAAATTAACTACGTGCGGACCTACGGGGACTTCGAGAAGATCACTCAGTTCCACCACCGCATGCTCTTTCCGCTCGTCTTCCCCCGAACGCTCATGTGTCCGGACAAGGTGGCCTTCCAGAGCGACGTGCCCAGGCGATATGAGACCGGTACTGTGGTGGCCATGGAGTGCATCGCCAAGGGCCCACCGACCACAGAGTTCTCCATCTGCTTCCAGTGCAACGACACCGGGAGGACGGTGCTCCGGTTCCACGTGAACTTCGATCGGACAACGGTGTCACGCAGCTACCAGCGCGAGGACAACAGGTATAATGGAGCCCGGACTCCAATATGTAAAGTCACCATAGTCGGAAAATATTCACCTTTATATACTTATTCCAGCTTTGCCTTGAGCGACGAGGAGACCGAGGGCGAATTCCCCTTTGTGCGAGGAAAGCTCTTCAAGATCGCATTCGGGCTCGGGGATCGGGCTTTCCTGATCGCCGTCAACGGGCAGTACTTCACCTACTACAACTTCCCCGGACGCCCGTTCTCCATATCCACTTTGAAGTGTTTCACCAACGAAGTGGGCGACTTCGCCGTGAGGAGCATGGAGTACCACTCCGATTCCCCGCTGCTGGCCCGCGTGGAGAAGTTGTCCATCATTTAGTCGAAAGTGATTCCTGAAGTCTTCTATAATCGATTCCAATTCTCGTAGTATGCTCTTGTTCAATCGTTGGCTTTGATCACCGTACAGCACCAGTTAACTTCTTCTTGTGAGCATCCAAATAAAGCAATGCAGCTCTCCAAACTTACAAAGTAATATCTTAGCTTACAGTTCTTTAACCACAATCTCACAGATAAGCATACTCTTATCTGCCATATTATCATCGCAATTACCGCGTTGCTCGGCTATAATTGATCACAAGCTGGGCATCCTTTGGATATAATTTTATTAAAACAAATTATTGCCGTCGCCTCCCCTTTTTGCCTGGATCAGCATCAGCTTAAGCATCCGCATCAGCAGGAGCCACGTGCTGCTCAACAGCTCCCATCTGGAGCTCCACTTAGGTTAGTCTTAAGGTTAGTTCTGGTTTGCACACTCCTGCGAGCGAGTGCAAAGTATTGGAGCCAATCCGATCGCTGGTGACCAGGATTAGCATCCTAGACGGAACTGCTGATGTCTGTCTCTCTATAACGCTAGATCCTCACTACGGAATATGTGTATGGTAATCGTATGTCCAACCTAGAAGTAGCGGAACTCGCCCTTCTTGCCAAGATGCTTGCTGCGCATCATGTCGGTGGGATCCGGCGATCGCTGTTCCATGCCGGGATTATCCTGGGTAGGGCAAAAAGGTTAGCAAGTCTAGCTATGAATTGAGTTGCCAGCCTTACTCACCCCTGATCGCGACTTGTTGCCCGGACCCGTTGGCCCCGCCTGCTGCTGCTGTTGTTGCCCGTAGAACTGGGCTCCATCTCCATCCCCGAAATTAAAGGGGGTCACAATCGTGTGCGGCACGTGAGCCACCTGCCCCCGCATGTTGCGCGCCTTCCACCACTTTCGGGTGTCGTCAAGGATCTAAAGTTAAGATGAGATGGTTAGAGACGAGCAAAGTGGGTGGGTGAGTAACGTACCTCCAAGTATTCGCCTCGCATAACGCTAAGCTCCTTGTCGTTGTTGGCTGTGCGCGGATAGGTGACCAGCACAATCTTGGCTCCCGTCGCCTGCAGATCCTCCAGCCAAGACTCGAGCATCTGGTCGTCGCTGACGTTCGGCAGACCCCTGCCTCCACCGCCCAGCTCAGACGAAGGCCCGGGACCGGCTCCTCCCCCGTACCCGTTTCCACTGCGAGACTCCCTCGTATGCAGATTCTGCAGACCAGCTGTGATGGCGCTGAGGGTGGGTCCAGCTCCTGGTCCATGGCCATGACCATGTCCATGTCCCGCTGCTCCCCCGCCTCTGCCTTCAATCGAGTCGAACGATAGCTCGCTGCGGGCGTTAAAGTCAGACGCGCTGATGGCTCCCGCCCGATCTCTATCGCGTTCTCTTTCCCTTTCCCGCTCCCTCAAGCCGTCGTTGCCGTGGTGGATGGTGTACTTCTCGATACCCATGGCCATATTCATCCCGTTCCCCGAGTCGTAGTCATCGTATCCAGCTCCTCCACGACCATTTAGTCCGGATCCAGCCTGGACCTCAAGTCTGCGCTTGCTTACATGAGCGGGCGGGGAATTTGGTGGTGGCTCCAGTTCATCGTTGATCAAATAGTCCGGTGACCAGCCGTCGAGGAAGACCGGATGGTAGGAGCCCACATCATCCTTCCACTGATCTCGCGGGATAACCCAGGCATCGCCCAATGAGCGCCACAGCTCCGTTTCCTTGCTGGTTACACAGTTGATGAGCAGGTTGATGGCCTCTCTGGTCAGCAGGGGATTGACCACACGAGCCGGTAGCTGTGACTCGTAGTACGTGTCGCTGGAGGCCTCCACAATCAGAGCTAGCGGCGTGAAGAGGAAGTGCACCAGCTCGGGGGCGTTGGGATCGTGGATGTGCGCCTTCAGCTTTGCCAGCAGGTTAAACGACAGCTTAAACTTGGCAAAGATGTCCACGAACTCCTTCTCGTGGGGTGGCCGCGTCCTCAAAGTGAGCAATCCCTCCCCCGGATCCCTTTTCTTGGACTTCCGATTGCGACGACGGCGCTCCAGTTCCCGGGAAGCGGCAGCGGCGTGCTGAAGACGAGCTATGAACTTCTCAATGTCATCGAAACAGTGATTCAGCACGGCCACATCCCGCTCGTACTTCTCGCTGGACGTAGAGCTAGTCTCATCGCGCTCCGCTGCGCCACCGCCTCCAATGCCACCGTGTTCCGAATCCGTCTCGCCACTAATGTGGGCCACATCGTCGCCAGAAACTCCTACTCCGGCACGGATTCCATACTGCTCCATGCTGCTCCTTTGGTGCATGTGATGGTGGCTTTCCCGCTCACGGTCGCGATCCCGCTCTCGCTCGCGCTCTGCCCGCTGCTCCCTGTGCTGGTGCAACTCCACTCTACTATGCGACGAGGACGAGGAGGTTTTGCTCATCATCATGGCCATGCTGGAGGCACCTCCTCCGCCTCCGGATTGAGTGGGTGTGGCACCGCGCTGCTGCGTTATCATCTTGCCGCTTCTCAACTGCTTCAGATCCTCAACTAGGTGAACGGCGGACACGCTTTGTGACTGCAGGGATAAAGCATTTAAATAGTTTGGATGAACAAGTCATAAAACACAACTTTCATTTTTTCTCACCTGGAATATGTGCATCTCGGAGCGGGAACCACCGCCTCCGGATACGATAAAGACCAGAATGTTGTTGTATAGCTCCATGGCGTCATTCGAGGTGAATGCGGTGGGCTCCTGGACCAAGGAGGCGGGGAATCGTTCGATGATGTTCTAGAAGGCAAGTATGAAGATGAGTTCCATAAAGATCATACCCAAGTTTCAGTAACTTACCCCCGTTTCATAGTCCATAATAAGCACCCACTGGTAGTCCAGGCAGAGCTGCATCTTCTGCGACCAAATGCCCGTGGTCTTCTCCAGCTGTAGGAGGCGCCTCATTCCGTCCGCCGGATACACAATACCGGACTCCTTGTTGACCGTGAAGGTGGCCAGGTGCTCCAGCAGGTAGGTGGGCTTGTCGTGCAAATCACTTTCCAGCCGCTCCCGCTCCTCGCCGCCTCCACTGCGATCGTCTCCAGAATAGTCTCCTCCTCCGCCGCCGCCTCCATGTGCTCCTCCCCTTAGGCTTCCACTACTGTTTCCGGCACTGCCGCCTCCGTTCGAGTGGTGGTTCACCATGGTGTCGTCCAATCCCGGTAGAGGCTTCGATCGACGCCTGAAGCTCCGTCTGAGAATAACAATGGATTTTGTTAGCTTATTTTTATTTTTGAAAATCAGAGAATTCTTTTAAGGATCAGTAAATTGTAAATTCCTTAATGAATTCAAAATCTCAATTACCGTTTAATTGATGATCTTAGTAGCCTTAACATCAGTTAAAAGTTTTTGTCGTTACTAACTTATTCTACTTTTCCTTCTTAGTATGAAGATATGTCGTATAAGATATAAAAATATTAATCAGAATTATGTATGTTTTTCAACAATTCCATTCAATCGTTTTTTCTAATGGAGAGTGGAATGTCTTGGCTGCTGTTCCTTGATTAGAACTATTACCCCAATGAATTTCCCAAAACTGAATTTCTCATGGGCCCGTACACAGTATGTAACTTGCAGGGGTGTGGTTGTGCCCCTTAGAAGTCTGGTTCCCATAATGGAATCTCAAGATCTTGAAGTTTTCGATGACCAAGTCAGCGAGCTGCAATCTTATGAGTGTCGGATACGAAAATTGGACCTACAGTATGTGTTAAATCATTATGCTGTGTTTACTTTGTGCAGCTGAGACTAAGTCTCCTGCATCCGAAGGCCCCTAATCCCGCCATGCCACTTGGATATTGCGCAGCCAATCGCCTCTGACTCAGACCGCATTCCGATTCAAAGCCACCACTAGCGTTGGCACACACACTCCAAACGATCCGCACATGGCCGCAATTATTCTCAAACTTTAACATTTCGTTGTTGTCTTGGATCAGCTTTGGAATTCAAAAATCGCGCTACTTCCACTTCCCCAGGTTCTCCTCTAATCTCACTGTCTCCACTTCGACTACACAGAAAATATATTTGGAAAGTTTACTTCTGACTATATTCATCCTACTATAAAATAATTACAATTTGTCGAGTTTATTCTTGTTACAACAGAAAGTTACACGTAGTGCTTTTACTTTTATCTTAACAAATTGGGCGAATTTGTTTAAAATAATACAAATCTTATTTGTAATCTTTGGAACAAACAGTAATCGTAACGTTTTTTGTAATTTTCGGATTAAGCTATCTTATTTTTTCTGTGTAGCGAGTGAACACACCTGCAAAAGGCGCACACACACGTGAAACTGAGATTTGCAAACACACTTTCTCGCCTCCTCTCACTCTAACCCTCGGAGACTCTATCCAAACCGCTCCCTCGACTCAAGTGACAGCAACAACTTTTCCGCTGTTTTAGGCTGGGCTCAGACGCCGACTGCGCAGTCGGCGCTGGCAGCAGCGTCGCATGCCTATCTACACTAAGCAAAATTCGCAAGTCCTTACTGTATTTATAATGCTGGTGGGAGAAGAACGCCTTCTTCTGGTTGTGATCACATTGCAATGTACAGCAAATTGTATTTGTCAATTATATTGAAACTATCTATATATTATCTAGAATATAGTCCTAACCATATTTTGATTTGGCAATATTTCCCATAGCGTTAGCCTCTCCATTTTTATCGGTGTATCAGTCCAGCCGTGACGCAGGGTCAACAGGCGCGGGGGAAGGGGGTGTTTGTGTACTTGCAACAGGTGAAAGAGAAACTTTAGGGGGGTCAGCTGGAGTGCACTATCTGCTTACGATCTTGTCCAAACCGCAGTAAAATCGCAGTAAACAAACAAGGCGAAGTGCACGTAAAAAGAAAACACTGACCCACTACACCCCTGGAAATGTTTTGTTTTCGTTAAGTTGCGCCGCTGTGTTATATTTAGCGTTTTATTGTTCGTACAAGCCCCAAATTGCATCACACTTGTGGAATTTGACAGATTCGTGTTTTCGCTCCTTACTCTGCAGCAGCTTAGAGGCCAATGACGAAACGCGATAAACATTATCGCACTTGAGTAACGTCGAAAAAGTTGGGCTTGCATAAATGCAGCTTTTAGAGAAAGTACTGAACTCGGTGATTTAGTTAAGTTTAGTTGAGACATCAAGCTAAGGTTTTAAAATGGTAGAAACATCTTCAAACATAATGCGATAACACTTTACTTAGGCATAGACAAGCCGAAGATAAGCATAACTACGTTTGTATCTCTAGATCCTAGAATCCAGACCTACATATGTACATGTGTATCTATCTATGATCTTTACATGGGGAAAACTTATTAACCCAGGTAAGGTAATCCCAGATACATATCTTCATTGGTATTTTAGTACTACCCAGCAAAAACCGTAAGACTTCGACACATGCTTCCATTCAGGCGAAGATAATTAATTGGGTCCTGATAAGCATGAGATGGGTATTAGGGCCTCAAATAATTCAGACAGCTGGGATTTAGATATAAAGGCGGCGTGCGGTACACTTGCCTTTTTATTTTATCTCGCATACTTCTTGGTTTACGAAGCAAATGGCAAAACAACAAATAACAATAGTTGTTTTTGCTGTTCTTTGGGTGGGAACCCGGTCGTGGGGTGGGGGAGGGCTGGAGGGGGATGTCGAGACATCGACACCCCGATCCACACTATTGCCGTCCCCCTCGCGCGCATGCGCGACAGGTATGCTGACGTCTGTGTTTGCGCTGGTGTGTGTGCGGCTTGAAAAGGTATTTGTCTCCGTGTCTCCATCTCCCCGGCATCCGCCACCCCCTCGCCTGCTGCTGCAACTTTAGTTTTTGACCGACCGCATTTTTTAAGCTTTCTTTTCCACCTGTTTTCCGTTTTCGTCTCTCACTGTGCGCTGTTGATATTTCACGAGTCTCTCTCACACACACTCACACACGTCGCCTCCAAGCCGCACTCACACAGGTGAGGCTTCACAGTAATGTGCGTGCGCGGATATACAGTGGTCCCCCAAAAAAAAGTAAACTAATTGAAAAGTACATTGTGCACATTTGCCTAACGATGTATGTTTCTATACAAAACATATTTTATAGTTCTTCAGGATTAATATTTAAAATATTAAGCTAACCAATTTCAAATGATTGAACTTCAAAAGCAGCCATCGGAAGGAGTGCATTTTTCAGATTTCCCGTAATCGAGGATTCACTTTTCCGAGGCATCACTGTATGTACAAAAGTGGGAGCGGCGGCAGGTTTTGTATTGATTTCCAATGCTTTGTTCAATTCATTCACTAATTCACAGACACAGGCTCATTTCGCTATATGTATTATTCTAATTGACCGCATTTTCCGGTGAAATGTGTGATATTCATATGTATGTGTATACACTCCCTTCACACACACACGCACAACACACAGGTATCGATATCACGTTAGCATTTCGATATCATCCTCTCACCTAGCACATTCTTTTTCTAATTAGCACGAATCCGAATCTCTGTCACGTTTGCTTGGCATTTTAACTAGTTTTCGGGCTTATTTTTCGGGCTTAGCTTCGGTTTTAGCCGTTACAATTGCGATCACTCGAGCATTGTTTCAATTTTAATTCAAACATTAAAAGTAACTGTAGTTCAGCACTTAATCCTCTCTTCTTCTTCTGCCACCTCCTTTTTACCTGTCTTCGCCGTTCTCTCCGTCCTCTTCTGGCAGCCGCCGCCTTTGGTCTAGTGCTTTCTCGCTCCTCTTCGATTTTTATTTTTAAGACGGCTTTCTTTCGCTCCGTTCTTTTTGATTCTCACAGACCGTTTTTCTATTTTTTTTGTCGCTTGTGGAAAATAAACGTACGAATAACAATAGCCCCGCAACGCCGTTGTTGTTGTTGCTGTGGCTTTTCAGTTACTGTTTTTGTTGTTTTTGTGGAACGCACGCGAGCGTCATCCGCTTTTTAAGCGCGGTTAGTACATGTCAGTCCGGTACCAGAAATCGTACTAACTTGGCTCATTCGTTGGCCTTTTGAGTTGTTTGTATATTTTTGTATTAAGCCACTTGTTGAGAGAGTGCTGCAGAGAGAGAGAGAGAGATCTCTCTTTACACTAGCGAACACAGCAATAGAATCATATTTAGCTATAATTTATTTTCTTTCCGAGTATATAAAAATCAAAATATTATATATACGTAGAGTTACCTAATGGTCATAATGATGACCATTTACCTAAATGATAATGATTTCTATGGATTTTTTTAGATAGATCTTTAAAAAAAAGTATTAGGCTACCAAAACAAAAGGAAACTAGGAAAAAATAGGAGTACGTCCTCACAAACTTTCTCATCGAAACAGATTGAGATATTTTTATAACTTTCATTATAATTTATTTTCTTTCCGAGTATATCAAAATCCAAATATTATATATACGCAGAGTTACCGTTATGATTTCTATGAATTTTTTAAGATTGACTTATAATAAGTATTAAGCTACCAAAAACAAAACGAAACTAGAAATAATACGAGTACGTCCCCATAAAATTTCTCAAAACTAAATTGAGTTATTTTTAAAACCTTCATTACAAAACATTTCAGATTTCCATTTCCACTTTGCTCAGAAAATAATTTTTTTATTGAATAAGCCTATGATTAATTAAAACTATAAAAACTATCAGCTGCTCCTCGCCTTTTTGTTGGCCTTGATCAGCTTGGCCTTCAGGGCCTTCACGTCCACCTTGCTTGAGGAGAAGCCGTCCTCCTTCTTCAGACTTGAAGAAGCCGACTCCTCCGTGGGCGGAACAAAGTCTTTGTTGCGGCGTTCGTCCTGGCGCTTGGCCGCCTCCTTCTGCTTCTCGGTGCGCTCCTGGTTTCGCTTCGCTTGCTTCTGCTCCTGGTTGAGGAAGTACTCGCCGCTGGCCAACTGCTTGTCCACCTTGCTCTCCGGCTGGCTGGGCGGGAATGGGGTGTACTCCTTCTTCTGCTTCTTGACCTTTGGTTGCTTGCGTTTGCTAATGTTTTTGTTCTTGAACTTGGGCAGGAACCGGGACCAGTCCTCGTTAGCCAGGCGGGGATCCTTCATCAACTCCCGCTTGATCATCAGAGCCTTAATGTTGTATATGGGGTGCACATTGTTCATCGTCTCCAGGACAATGTCCCGCACTTGCTGAAGCCCTTTGTAGGGACCCAAGGCAGAGACAGTGTTTCCTTGAACCAAAACATAGCAATCGGTGAGCAGTTCAATGGACTTTAGGGTGGCTCCGTTGGGTCCTATTAAACGCTGCCGCCGCTTCACGAACTTCTCCTTCTTGTGCACTAGGTTTCCGATTTTAATGATGTCACATCCAATGTCGTCCTGTAAGACACGCTTAGCCTGCTCGAAGGGAACGCTTCTGGCCATCAGCTTGATCATATCCCTCGCCTTGATGATGATGTAGGGATCCCAGGTCTTGCGACTGGTCCTTACCACCATGCTGCCCTCCATCAGATCCAGCTCCGCCTTCAAGTGGTGCTCGGCCAAGCACTGCTCCACCAGAGGCCAAACCTCCTTCAAATAGCGCTCCCGATATTTTGGAAATAGCGTCGCAAAGGAGCTCTCCTCCACCATCCCATGCGGGTTGTCCTCCTCCCTGAAGGTCGGGATCTTCATGGCCCACGCATTGTCCACCGGGTCAGTGCTGATTTTGGTCTCCTCCGCATCACTTTCGCTCATTGTTACGGATCTTTTCAGAGGCTAATTCCTCTGCAGGTAAAATTCTTCCACGCTTGTTTTGGCAAGGTTGCCAGATCAACGATATATGCGTGTGACCTTATCATGAGAGCATTAACAAAATTTACAATCTAACACGAATTTATAAGTGTTTTGGGTACATAACCATTTTTAAAAAATGCAATATGGATGTCTAAATCAATAGAAATAAATAAAACAAAATAAATTCTAATTCCTGATACTATAAAAATTTTTTTTTTGAGATTTTATTAATTTCAAAACATGTTTTAACTATGAATAAATCATATGTTTATATAATACATACAGTACTAGACTGATTAACATCAACATCTTAATTTAATCAATTTCCGAATAAAGTATTCGCATTTATTAAAGTAAGAACCAATAAAATTTGTACTTAAAATTGTTTTATTTATATAATAATTCATGTGCGTCAAATAACATCGATGAATTTACGGCGATAAGTTTTATTTATTTATTTTTTCGTTATAAAAATGCAAAAATGTTAGGAAACGAAAGATCTCTCATGTGCGACTTATAGTTTATAGGACTCAAGTAAGTATATAAAATATGCAATTGAAAAATCGGCTTCCAACTCTTTAAGGAAAATCTCCACTTGCAGAGCATGTTCCAAATTGCATGCTAGACCACCTTAAAAGACATTCCTTTAAGGATATTTCACGAAAATTGCATAAAAAAATTATGCACAGTTTTTGAGATAATGGCCTAACAATGGGTCCAGAAAATCGAGTGAGAGGAGTTTGAAGACATTTAAGAATGCCGCCTTGTCCAGTACAAGTACCACAGCCAATCCACGTAATGAAACGCTTTATTAACAATAAGAGTTTTGCGCTAACTTTAAATATTTATTTACTTTTCACGGTGTCTTAAAAGTTTTGTAATTTTATTAAATATTTATGGCAAAAGTGGTATTAACTAAAATACTAAATCCCGACTACGCAATGCGGTATTTTCTAACCAAAACCATTTTTTCCTAGCAGGTAAAGGTCACACGATTTTGTAAGCCTAAGCGAAGCGCACGCAGGAGTTTTCGGAGCGAAAGAAAAAACGTCGCAAATAAAATATTTAACAAATTGTAAGGCCGATAAACAATTGTACATATAATATATATTTTCTGGTAGGCTTATTACCTATTTGCTCGACCAAAGTGTGCGGACCTAACCGCATGACCAATTTTGGGGCGTGGACGTGAACCAAAGCCAGTAAATTAGGATTAAACAAAGAAAATTAAAGAAAATCAATATAAAGTGGCCGATATTGTTGTAGTTGCTAGAAAAAGGCACTTTTCTAGCATTTCCCTTGGCTGCGGATGTAATTACGCCTTTGTGAAAAATTGTGAAAACCAAAATGGCGTCATTTTTGTGTGCGTGGCAAGGCGCTGCCAACCTGCTTGAAAAGAAAAACTGAGTAACTTTCACTTTTGTTTGTACCTAAAGTCAAATTTAGGTTGTAACCAAAACGAGGCAGAGACATTTGTGCTACAAACGTTCAGACAATCGCATGTTTTCATATAATTACGCTGTACAAAATATTTTATTTTCGGTTTTTTGAGAGTGGACAGACCTCAGGGCTGCACTGGCTTATCGATTACCGATAGCCGCGAGCACACGTCCGCATTTCATCAGTGCCTGAAAAAATCGCAACGCGAAAAACACGTTTTCTGCATCTCCACGATAATAAAACACTTCTGCGAAGGGATTATTGGTTTACTACCAGTTGTAACAATAAAATAACAGCATTCATCATATTCTGGCGCTGCGGCTGGAAATTGTTTTATACTCGTTTTAAAAGTGAATTGTAGGGATATAGCATAGTTTTATCCTGCAAAATATGTTCTCAGACTAGTGTTTTATCCTATTTTAGATACTATTGGAGTCCTTGAAAAGGCGAATTCTAATGGAATTACGTAATCAGTGGAAATTTAGTATCTATTAAGTCACGCATACCAACAAAAGCAAGCGTCGCTGCACACGCACGATCCAACACATACGCACCCGTTCGCGTATGGTCATACCCTCAAGTGTGGGAGAGAGACGGCAATAGGGAGTTCAGCGTTGCCAGATCCATTCTCTAGTTTCCCCACCACAGACGAAGCAAAATGGTGAGTTTTGACTAGAATGTGAAATTATAGCTGTTTCATTGGTGTCTTAAATATTTTTATTTAACAGCCTCGAATAGTTCCACTGCAATTGCTGAGGTGCCTGCGGGTGCTTTTAGACAACAATGGTGGAATTTTAAGTGCTGTGGAGGTGAAACGCATTTCGGGGTAAGTTTGCCACTAGTCAACAGCGACACCTATCGGCGTTTGCTAATACCAAGTTTTTCGCCCACAGTTTGATGGCCAAGTATTCAAAAAAACTGGTTTCGAAATGTGTGTATGTACAAATTCTTAAATCCACAAAGACGGAACTATTGGGCGACTTTATGGCGGTGGGCGGTTGGTCGCTGGTCTACACCTGGCTAAATGATGCCATCAGGGCGATGAACTGGCCGCTGGTGCAGGAGATTCTGGAACTGCTGCTCCTTTCCCCCGTGGATGTCAATCGTCTCAAGATAAACTCGGCCCCTATTCTAGTCAAGGGGCTGTGCAAGGATGGCGGCAATGAAGGTAAGTTTCGGGTTTTCTTTGATTAGTCTTACTCTAGTCCTAGGTTCAGTCCTGATTAGTTTTCCTGAGCCCTGTCCTGGGCTGTCTATTATGCACCTAATTATCTAGGGATTACTAATTGCCTTTTTTCGACCATTCCGACGTTTTCCAGGTGTACGCATTCTAGCCAAGCGCTTGGTAGAGCAGTGGCTGAAGATTGTGACGGAAAACACAAGCATGACGATCCAAGGTGCTGCGACACAAATAGCAGGCACTACTGCTTCTCAGGTTCCTGCATCCGTTTCTGGAGCTGGCTCCGCTCCGGTTCCGGACTCTGCCTCTTCTTCAGACAGCACGGATAGCGCCGGTGCACCTGTGACGTATACCATCACCTCGGCGGCCAACAGCAGCAATTCCAACAGCATAACCATCAAGTGGAAGCCCTTGTTGGATAACCCAGATGGCGGCGACGAAGCTGATTCTGGCACAGCACCGAAAGACAGCGAGGAGGAACACCTGGAAAAGGGCTCCTCCGCAACCCACTCATTAGCCGTCGCTAGTTTGGGGAAAAAATCCGGTTTAGATGATAGTAGTTCAGCGGCGGAGGTTAAGTCTGGGGAGGACGTGGATAATAAGAAGCATAAGAGCTCCAAGAGCGACAAAAGTAAACGGTCCGAGAAGGAGCGCGAGAAGGATAGAAAGGAGAGTTCAACGAG